GCACTGGGTGTTATGAACAAACAATGAATCATGGAACACTGCATCAAAAACTAATGATGTAATATATGGGGATTAACATAACAATAAAAAAATTAAAAAAAAAAAATCAGAATCTAAACTTCTTAATCTCAAATTGGTCTTTGAATGCCAATCTCTAAAATTTCTGTTCTCCTTTGCTTTATCCCATAATGAATTATTTTCTTTGTTTGAAACTGCGTGGTCTCATATTTTGTTGGAACACCACATCAAAATAATCAGAATTTCAACATTTCAAGATTTTTTTTCTAATCAGGAAGTGCGAATTAGCAGAACTTCTCTGCTTTGTCTTTACAGTCTCTTACAGTAAAGCTCTTCTGTGGTCTTGATATTTCAAAGTAAAACCTTCCTGAACCCAGTAGATAAGAAACTTTTGGTGCCTGTTTCTAACTGTCCATGAGTGAAGGCCATTACAAAAAGTAAATAACAGTGGAAACTGAACAGTTGCTGGTAGAATTTTTGTTCTTGTTTTTTACTTTTACATTTTATTTCTCCACAGCTATTTTATGGGGTTCAATTACAATGGGTAATGAGTATGATCCATTGAAGAGAACTACCAAGTTTCACTTAACTTCATAACAATACTTTTGGATGTCATTTATTTGAAAGTAGAATGAGGTAAGATGTTTATTAAATTTTACTTTAGTCAAAGTCTCCCCCCAACAGACACACACATACACACACACGTATGCACACACACACATATACACTCTATATGTAGGTTTGCAGGACTGCCCAGAAACCTAAAATCCTTCTATTGTTTTTCTTCCCTGTAAAGAAAAATTGGCTGGTGATATGATACTTGCAGTGTAAGTCATTACAGGTCTGATGCTACAGTTGTTACACATTATTGAATCTATCGAATGAAAAGGGAGCACAAAGGGAATTTCCAAATGCAGCTGCTATTTCCCATTTGTTAAATCCTTTTATTATACCATATAAGTACACAGCTGGGAAATACTATAGAGTGGGAGTTAAAACAAAATATTTTGGCTTCCAGACATTCAAAATATACAAAGGCTCCAGTGGAAAGCAGTGCTTGATATCAAAAGAGAGTGAAAGTTTGAAAACATTTCTAGCAAATATGATTTCTTTTATACTAATATATAACATATTTGTAAATTTAAACTATTTTATACTTCCATAAATCCCTCTTAATATAAGTTTGGTAAGCAAATTATTAATATCTATTTTCTGACAAAATTTTAGAACATAAACCTTTGAGAATGACTCACTGAAGCAAATTGGCACTTGCCAAAATACAAACAAATTTTACTAAGGAAAATAAGTAACATGTTCTCTAAAGAAGTAAAATTTGAAGGGTATTATTTATGCCTCAACCTATATTTTCAGCTTCATTATTTTTATTTGTCCATGAATATATTTGCCATAAGTGGCAAAACAGATCTTGAACCCATCCCTTCTCTCTATCCCATCTACCCCTACATTAACCCAAACCACAACCATCTCTTACTCAGACTTCTTTTTTATTTTTTTAAAGATTTATTTATTTATTTGAGAGAGTGTGTGAGAAAGAGAGAGAGAGCATGTATGAGCGGGGGGGGAGGGGCAGAGGGAGAGGGAGAATCTCAAGCAGACCCCCTGCTGAGCACGGAGCCTGCCAGGGAAATCAATCCCACAACCCATGAGATCCTGACCTGAGCCAAAACCAAGAGTTGGATACCCAACTGACTAAGCCAACAGGTGCCCCTTACCTGGATTTCTGAAGTAGGCTCCCAACAGGTCTTGCTCCTTTCACTCTTGTCTCCCTCCCATCTATTCATACTATAGCCAGAGTGATCTATCTGCAACATTCTAAAACCCTTCAATGGTTTTTCATTACACTTAGAATCAAACCTCATTTCCATAGCGTTATCTATATGGTCTTGTTGGATACAGTCCCTACCTGTCTCTCCAACCAGATCTGATGCTACACTGCATCCTCACTCATTACACTCCAGCCACAAAAACTATTTTTATTTTTAACATTTATTTATTTCAGAGAGAGCAAGGGGAGGGGCAGAGGGAGAGGAAGAGAGAGAATCCCCAGCAGGCTTCCCGCTGAGCCTGAAACCTGATGCGGTCTCCATCTCAGGGCCCCGAGATCATGACCTGAGCTGAAACCAAGAGTCAGACGCTTAATGAACTGGCACCCCAAAGACTATCTTTCATTTCCTGATACTCGGCTATATTTTTCTCACCTCAAATATTTCATACATGCTGTTCCCTCTGCTACTTTTACTCTTCCTTCTATTCTTTGCCTGGCTTGTTCCTATCATCCTGAGGTCAGAGAAGGCATTCCTATCCATTCTAAATTAGGTTTATCCCATTATTTCTCACATAGCATTCTGTTCTTTTTCTTCCTAACACATATCACAATTTTAATTATATATTTATGTATGTGTATTTATTTAATTTCTGTCTCCCCTCCTAGATATAAGTTCCAGGAAAACGTAATCTTTCATGTTTTTTCACCACAATACAGCCAGCACCTAGCAGCATACTGACCCCAGAGAAGGTGCTCTATAAACATTTGATGAGATAAAAATAAAACATGGGCCTACTATCTTCTCAAAAAGCGAGTGGCAATGACCGGGTGTCTATTTCAACCTTGCTACCTTGGAGGTCCAAAAGTGATTCAGTTCAATCAGAAAAACAGACTTTTAGTCTTGCCTTTTTATACTTTCCTCTCCCCTCCATGCAAGGAAAATAAATCTTCCAATGGATCTAACTGTATAATGACAACACCCCATGAACCTAAAGTTAGTCTAGAAAAGTCTTATTTTTCTTCCTTTCCCCTACTTGTCACCTACTGCTGCAGAGTGCTAGTTGTGTCTGCAAAATCAGCTGAAAAAGAAAAATGTCTGCTTCCATAATTTATAGAATCAAGTCTTTGACATTAAACATTTAGCACAGAGCAAGAATTTAAATACCTGCTATCAGTAGTAAAGGCGTTTTTAAATATGACCTTATTTTTATTAAAGAATAAAACTTTTCCTCACAGCCCACTTAAAATGTCTTTCATTAACATAACCAAAAGTTAAGAAACGTATAACAGGTTGTCAATTCCTAATCTAATAAAATACGTTAAGGTCAGTTCTAGATGTGAAACAATTGGATATTTTTGCTTTAAATTGACAATGCCACTTACTGTGGCTTCTGTTTTGATGGTTAGAGACAGAATTTTGCACGGGAAAGGTGCCTAAGATACTGCATGTATCTGATGTCTCTACCTTCAGGGAAAACTCCTGCAGTCTGATTGAATGATACTCCGGAGCTTTGCACATCCTTTTGAAATTAATATATAGGCACATAAGTGAGAAAAGCTTTATTATAAATCAAAAATGACCATTAAAAATGATAAACACCTGCATTTCCCCACTGAAGATGTATTCACCATATGACCTCATTCACATAGACAGGTTTGCTTAATATATATTTCAATGTTAATACACAGCCACACTTTATTTGATCATACTTATTTTGTGTCATTATCAAGTTCACCACCTTATTAAGAGATTCAGAGAATAAGATAATCAAACCTCTCCCCGAGTTAAATTAAATATCTATCTGCAACATTCTAATGGACAAATGGACAAAAATTAAATCACAAACCGTTTTCCAATTTTTCCCAGGTACTAGTGTATTAATAATATTAATAATATATACATGGTGCTTGTTTCACGACCTAAATACAAATAACTTTAAGATATGTATTTTGAGCTTTTTCTAAAACACCTATTTGTGATGAGGCCACACTAACAGCACACTTAGCAACAGCGGCCAGATTTTAAAAGCTCACCATTCTTTGCTGAGACGACAGAACGCTGTCCCAGTCAGCATCTTGTTGAATGGTATTGACAAGTGTTGGTAGCTCCTCAGAGTGAGGTTTGTTGTGCATTATGGGGTGCAGAGGCAGATGGGAGGCCACATGTTGATCACCGCCCTCTTCCTTTTCCCTTGAGATCAAATCTTGGGTCATTGCTTCCTCTCCATCAGCTGCACAGGCAAATGGAGAGGTGGCTTGCTTGGAAGACATTCTTCTGCAGAAGAAGGAAAGAACATGGATTCAAAAAGGCTGTCAATGACAGAAGAAGAAACAATCCCTTACATTTGACTAATTCAGAAAAAAAAAAAATAGGTTCTCTAACTTCAGGTTGTTTATGAGCTGCTCTAAACCACTTTGAAAAAGAACTTAGCTTATCTGTTCTACTCCCCCTCTCTGTTTTCAACTCAGCAAACCTCTTCCTAGTAATTGCTACACATCTTCCTCCTTAACAATCCACAAATGACATTTTCGAGGAATAAGTTTTCATAACATATAGTATACGTATGTGTGTATTTTTCCTCCCAGTTCTTCCAACTAGATTATCAAATTAGGTTGATGGCTAACAATGGGGAAAAAATTAAATAAATAAGTGAATGAACTGACAAATAAGCCAGTTTGGAGGATGATTTTAAAGTAGAAATATCCAAATTTCTCTTATGCTTTATGTGGGAACAAAAGAAGACTATGTGAGAAAATACAATCAGGAGAGTACACAACACATGTTGAAAGTCCTAACCAAATTTGGTCTTGACTTCTTAGTTTATACCTTGTATTATGAGTGCCAGGGCCTAACATTGTTTAGTGTCAATCTGATCTTTTTTTAAAGATTTTCAAAATGTGTCAACTACTGTAACTTAACTTTTAAGTGACATATTGATCAAGTGGCTGAAAATGTTAGATTAGTCTTAGGGCAATTTTGTATCATTTGAATTAAATATATGAAATAACTATGCCTCTATTTTATATTAGAAAGTACCATACAAAATTCAAAGCATTTACTGTGAAAATAGTAAAATGCCTACTATACACCATATTTTTAAAACTGCAAAAACAATTACCAAACACTCATCTATGTACCCACAAGTAAACATCAACTGCATTTTGCACAAGGTCTCCATTCTGTGCTTTGTCAAGATGACTTTCTTAACAAAATGCTTAGAAATAAAAACACCAGAAGTTTATAACTTAAAAGAAAAGACAGTTGAGTATTTTTTCTAAAACTTTGTTGTTTTCAGTTTATAGCATCTTTAGCTCTAAAATTGCTGTGTAATGAAGGAATAAAATCTCCACCTTAATTGCTCTTTAACATTAATTGATTTCATACCATTTTTTTAAAAATGCACAAATCAGTTAACATAGGAAACCACATGAGCATTTTTCAAATTAGCAAATCATTAACTTGCTAGTACTGTTTCTACAGACAAATAAATACTGATTAAAGGGTCTAGAAATCTGAGATTAACAGTTAAATTTACAAATCTGTCACATGCTTTCATGAATATTGCAGTGAAGGAAATATCAAGTGCAAAGAAAAATAATTAAGTTAATTCCAATTTAAACAGTAGTTTTTATGTAGCAGCCCATGTTTCACATAGGATTTAACAGCTAATGCTAAATTTCTCACAATTAATGAGGGGGCTCAGATTTAGTATCCTACAGTGAAAAAAATTAATATAAGATCAGCTAATCTAATTATGCACAGTTCTAAATAAAAGTATTACAGGCTTTTGAAGTGCTTTGAAACATATTAAAATGCTGATACCTACTTATAATAATCATTCTACAAATAATAAAATTTCATCTGTTAGACTTGATACTAGAAAATAAAATGGGGGAAAGGAAGTACAGAAGAATGTCTATATTTTCTTTGAGAAGAAAGAAATAAATATTCTAAAGAGTACTATATCAAAGAATCAGATAAGTATATTCCTGTCTAATTTCTATCAAAACTAGCACGTGGAAAAATGCATATACACATATGGAAAGTGATACCAAAGGATGTTTATCATTGTACAGGGATCACTGCAAATACTACAGTAAAGCCAGACAAATTATAACTGGTCTGCAAATTTATCCAGAGTTTACCATAAACAACAAGAGTGTTTTCATAGTTCAGATAATGACAGTACCAATAATGTAATCATTCACATTAAAAACAAAAGAGTGAATTTACTGCTGCCTTTTAAAACAGTTAAATACAATTGAAAGTCATAAGCCAAAACTCAGAGTGACTTTAGCTCCCCAACAAACATCCTCTATTATAAAGTGACTTGGCTCCTTCCAATAGCAATATCTGTGATTGTTGCTTTAGTATAAATTAATCATGACACAAAACCCAAAATGAAAAGTCTCTTAAGAATAATTTCAAGTATAAACTGCACCAATGAACAATAGTGCACAATCCTAATTAAACACAACCATGCAGCTGTAAAAATAGACTAAATCTGTCCAAAGCTGGGTTGAGTTTAAAGGCTGGTTTGTTAGAATGTTTTCTTAAGAAAGGCTGGGCCCTCAGTCTTAATCAGCCAATAAATTATTTCCTGCAATTACATTAAATAGAAAATTATCTTCAAATGGGGAGTGTTAATTGAAAATCAAAATTCAGAGGGAAGTTTAGAAATTACACGCTGAATACAATTAGTGAGGAAAGGCTTCACCTCTACTTCATCAACAGTGTTCTGGTGATTCCTCCAGTGACCATTCAGGAAAGCTACCTATTTACAACATCACACAATTTGTCTTTTATTTTGCACCTACAAATACAAATGTCTATCAGGGTTGCAAATAAAAGATAGGCTGCCAAAAAAAAGCAATATTAAATTTGACTGTTCATCCTCAGTTCACACCATCGTTTGGGGACAAGGAGAGGGGGAATGTTAGGGCAATAACGGTTACCAACCAAGGAAGGCATACTCAACTTCAAAATCCTTCCCTTTACCTAAGGAACTAACATTTTTGTTCCAAGAAGCATACTTTACTGTATCATATTTTATTTAATTTCTTGAGTTTACTCTACCACAGTTCTCAACACGTTGCTAGCAGAGAAAAAGGTGATTTTGAGGTATTGTTCCCCTGAAGGCATTTCCTTTTGATAAAATTGTTGGCTTCTTTCAGGTTGGTTTTTAATTGTTGTAGTTTGGTAGTTTTGTTGTATTTTTAAAAGGAAAATGTGTACACATACTTTTTAAAGCAAAGTTTATTAAGTAAGTCTTAAATTTCCTGATTATTAGATTCAATTTACTGATTACTTTTTACACAATTACTTTATTAAAGAATCCTTCAACTTACTGATTACATCCTCATTCATTTCTTTACTTTAGCTTTCCCTTTTTAAAACATTTTACTAGACCAACTAAACTATCCTGGAAGCTGCAAAGATACTTGACTTTTGGTAATGCCTTCACTATAACCACTGCACCATGACTACTCTCCTTTAGAAATTCATAAATCAAATATGTACTTGGTGTTAATGTTTTAAAATGTCACCTGGGATGCTCAGTTTTATTTTTAATGATCATTTAGTAATTTTTCATTACAAAAATTTTCACCCCCCGTGTATTAGAACTGTATCTTACTTTAGCTAAGCTGTCATATAAAACTAGTAAGCAAAAGAATCAAAATCCTTGTGAAAATGGTCAATTTCTATGTGACTTTACTTTGTTTTATTTTTGCACTATTATAACTTAAAAATCATTCAAATGAATTGTTTTTTTTAATTTGTATTAAAAAAAAAAATCTCCCTAGTTATACCCCCTGAAAACAGGGGTTTATAATGGAAGTGCTGACACAACCCTAACTAAAGCAGCGCAAATGTTGCCGCTATAATACACAAAATCAAGTTCTATTATTCTAAACTATCCTCGCTCATGGGATTTTTCTTTACTGTGCTCCCAGCCAAACTGCTGAAGCATGAAAAATTTAAATGCAATCAAATGCGCCCAATTCTACTTTACTAGAACAAGTGTCTACAGTGGTACAATCTTAAAAGGAGATGCAACAGATTTGTTTGGTGTTTTTTTTAACTGTTTATTTATAATACAGTGCATTGGAGATAAAATAAAAGAGGAAATTACACTCACATGGTACTAGTGTATTGACTACACAGAGTACATTATAATCAGAGAGAAAAACTACATTGTCAACTTATCACATTGGTTAAACAAGATGGTTTTCTGGGGCATAGCTATTATCAAGTAAAACCTCCAAAGAGAATTACATATCTTTGGGACACATGAAACTAAATTCCCATCATGTGTTCCCCGAGTTTGAAATGTCTCTGCCCAGAAGATCAAGTGAATTCCCAGGATGCCAGGCCATTGGGAAGAACTTCAGGGCTTAGGACTTTTGGGAATGAGATTGTTGGAAATAAAGTCTCCAGTAATGGATAATGTTTTCTAGGAAGTCAGTAAGAGTATTTCTAGAAAGGTAATTATTTTACTTCAATCCAAAACCCCAGTAAAAAATCTGAATGTTTAAGCCATCACAAATTTATTCAGACAGTAAATTTACTTTATGTTCTTTAACAAGAAATTAAGATAAGCTGGTCCAAGACTTTATAAAATGGTAAGGATATGGATATCTATACATTAAGACCTCTATCTCAGAAAATCAAATTCTCTAGAATTTTAAACCAGCCCGATCTGCTGTTGTTATTTTTAAGAAACAGTTATTTATAAAAGTTTAAAGGTTAGGATTATTTTAAAACAACTTTCTCCTAGGGCTTCACCACTTGAAATTACTTTTTTTTAAACTATTGTCTGGGAAGAATACATTTCAAAATGATTTTACATAGGTATCAAAAAGAACCATTGAATTTATTGGAACAATATTTTTAACCTAATTTTTAAAAATGTTTTCCTTACTTCTAAGATAATTATCAAATGGCATTCACTTGTTAGGTGTACTACATTTATTCAAAAGAAGCTCAGTTTTTAACATAAGGCAACATTTTAATAGTTGGTTTCCTTAAAGAAAAAATTAAACATTCAGGCCAATATTCATATGTGTTTTTGCAACTCAGCCCCAGGCTACCAAGGTAGACTTACTTCTGTCAGATGATTCACTGTTAATTTAATGCTGCAATTGATCTGATACTAAGAAATAAACAACTAATTTTCCAAAAATATAACACAGTGCCTCTCATTTTGAGCATGAGTAACAGATATGTTCAGCTGCCAAAATGCACAATACTTAGGAACCCCTACAAAGGA